TAGGTGCATGTCGGTATAATATGTAGGAGGCAACATCTCTGTGGTATAGCGCCGTCTCGAAACTTGTCCCAACATCTCGGATAGTCACATGCAGTGGAGACTTGGACGATCCTTCAAGGCATAACTTGGCGGCTTTCAGAGTCTTGTTCACTTGATCCACTGTAACGTATCTCCAGATCGTTCCTGTACTGAGCGCAGTATCTCGCCAGAGGCGACAGACGCTGGAAAGTGTGGCTGCAGGCTTCATAAAGCTCGATGTATTCTGGGATGAATCGACGACGATCCGAAAGATACGTTTAAGTACACCGAGCGGAAGTCGATTGATAGAGGTGGCATGGACGTTGCGGATCTTGAGCAATGCAGCAGATGCACTTAGCAGCAGTACACGCGTTTGGATAATCCATTCAGTGCGCTGGTGGATGACCGTTGCTATGTCTTTCATCTCGTGCGAGAGCTGTTCAGGCGAAGTAAAGGCGTCGGTGAGTGAACCAGTTGCTTGGCAGAATTCTTCCATCGCGGTTGATAGACTGTTTTGTGTGGCTAGCCATCGCGAGAGTAGATTATTACTATCAGCGTCAGACATGAAGCACTTCTGTACCAGGGAGCAAGACTTATGCGCGATGGCGGTTGTGAATGTAATGAGCGATATGTCACGTGCACCCTGGGGTTTGGCGCTTATGGCCGTCTCTCCTCCACCACCCCGACCTCATAACCGGAATGCCCCCGCTCGCGCTCACCGGCATTGTAACCAAAGCCGGATATATGAAAAAGACAGTTACAGTGACTGTAACGCGATATGTAGAACATCCCCTGGCGCACAAGGTGTGTTTCTCGCTCAGCCATCCTGTCATTCCATCTGATTTTCGCCTTGCGCTCAGCGTATCGCCAGAAGTAAAAAGTACCTGACCCACGATCCACAAGAGCGTAAGTCATGCTTAAAATATCCTGACGGGTCTCTTTACTTTTTTGCTCAGGACTAAAAGAAGGAGACAAATGTATCATCCGAAACTGCCCGCCGGTGTCCGCACGTAAACGTTTTGTGCTCGAATCGATTATCAGGCCAAGTGCATCATCGTGATGAGTTTAGGGGGTGGTAATATGGGAATGTCGTAAGCACGATCATCTACACGCTCGAGCACCCTCGCCGTTCTGACCCCGGTCACGACCCCAAGATCACATCATGTTTGATTACAATGTTCATGCCAGACAAGAAAAATGGAAAACGTTGCCTAAATATCAGAATCACCGCGGAGCTGTCACACTCCTGGCGATATCAAGTAATTCGCGAGCCGACATCACACAAAACTACCCGCTTAGCTCCACTTAACCCCGAATTGGCATACACTGCGGCCAGTTACCAGCGGGCCGATGCGGTCAGTTACTCTGCGCCGGATTGAATTGTATTTGGCGGCCGGTTTGATCTCACGAACTGGCCGCTCGAACATAAAAAGACCCAGGTGGTACGTGTCCCCCTTTCACAACCAGAATGCCTTTCACACCAGTGCAAACGTTTATTGGCGCGGCCATGATGGGGTCGGTCTACCCTCTACTTTTATCCCTCTTGGAAAGATCACTAACTTTTTTTGCACAGGCTGGCCGCGAACAATGTTCTAGTCCTCAATGGGGGCGTGTTGGGTGTATCCGGTTTCGCTCATCGGACTGTGGCGTCATTGAGCTACTTGACTCGCAAGGCGCTCTGCGGACGTTCGGACATGGAAACCAAGGAAGAGACCAATCCAGACCCAGAGCAATTGGCGGTGCTGTCCATCGCCGGTCTCCTCGCGGGCGGTCTCGTTCTAGGCCTCTGTCGCAGTCGATTGGATTCAGCGGCTGGCGCTCAATTGTTGGACGTCTATGCTTCGAGTGAGCCTGATTGGCGCAAGGTTCTCGGCTATATTCTGGGTGGTTTGTTGGTTGGTTTAGGTAGCAAGGTGAGCTGTGGCGTTGATTACTCCACCCAACTCCGCTGACAAAATGTGACAGTTGGCCAACGGATGTACGTCCGGCCATATGCTCTGCGGAGTGTCTAGACTCTCGCCACGGTCTTTGGTCGCGACCGGGACGTTCTTCCCTGCTGCGCTGGTGACGCATATCGTCCTGGGCAAATATGCCCCCTTCTCGATCGAGCTTGCGCCTGAGAGGGAGGTTGGGATGCCCTCGTGGTGGACAATGCTGCTACTCCAAACCCCTCTCCTTGTCTACACTCTCGGTGGTGCATTTCTCAAAGGGTTCGTCGGCGAAAAGGCTGCGAGGAGGCTGGTGGCGTTTACTACCTGTTAGTTCAGTCTCTTGGCTCATACTTGTCGCCATGTAGCTAATACGACTTAGCCTTTCACTTTTCCCTTGGTCTAGCCATCAGCGGGATGCTCCGCCCGTCCAAAATCCTTGACTTTCTCCGGATCACTCCTTCTGCCGTTCGCTCTCATGCATGGGACGGGAGTCTTTTGTTTGTCATCGTAGCTGGGATTATACCTCAACTCCTCGTCTGGCGATGCTGTTTAGGCGCATACATCCGTCAACCGGACAGCCGACCCAAGTTTGCCGAGTCTTGGTCTATCCCCAAAGTGTCGATGAGCGCGAATTGGAGAGAAGGGATCACTGTTCGACTTGTGATTGGTGCGTTGATATTCGGCGTCGGGTGGGGGTTGTGCGGCATATGCCCTGGTCCTGCGATAGGGTTGTTCGGAGATTTGATGAGTGGGGATTGGAGGGTACAGGCCTGGAGGGTAGGAATCTGGTCTGTTAGTTTCGTGGTCGGCGGAGTTGTTGGTGGTCTATTTTGAGTCATGGTCATTTACGTTGCTCATCGCTATTATAAAGTTCTTGCATATGTTTATCGTATGATACATGAATTATAATCATGCTTTACCAATTCAATAATGACTAGTCTTCTCGTCTAGTTTTCTACTTAGTTTCTGTTCTCAATCATATTGCCCCTAGTTCTGTGCAGCAGCTGTATTTCTTTTCACTGCGTTGACCCTGTCTCACAAAGACGTATCGGTTACAGACACGATTATGCAGTGGTTTTCTCGTCGCAGTGTTCGCTTAATGGGGGGACTAATCAATGTAATTTTATTGTTTCTACAACAACAGAGGGACAGGTGAAGTGTAATTGAGTGGGGTAGGAACCTTTTTAGATAACGCAGTGAGAACAGACGCCCAGATCATGCCCCTAGCATCCTTCGTATCTGAGGAATTATAAGTTCAACGGATTTTATCGTGGAATTTGTTGCTCAACACAGTGAAGGTAGCTTCCATGTGCTGGTCCAAGGAATCGCGAATTGAGCTCCCGCAGCCCCTTTTGCACACCCGGGGATCCTGTCTCAACAAATTGATTGTAGCCTGTCGGAGGTAAGGTAACTGGCGTAAGGCAGATATCCCGACTAGCGGAGAGTCCGAGGCCAGCCGAGAGGAATATTCTTTATTGAACGAAGCAGGAAAGATCTTTTGTGTAAAAATCTCTGAACAGGCGGCGAAGCATCTTGAGCGATCAGCCTCTTTGACTGCATCAGCTAGATTCGTTGGAGTCTGGATCCAGTCTAGATGAAGTTCTGAGAGCGGCAACGGGGTTAGGTATACTTGAGCTGCTAATAACTTCGCTCGTTTATCCACTGTAAGCCGAGCCCAAATAAACGATCGATAGCCTTCGCTCAAAACCGCACAGAAAACGAAACCAAATAATGGCGGATCGGAGCCTTTCAGGGCGCTGTTCTCGTACATATCAAGCAACAATTCTTTGGCTGCAAGATTAATAAGGAACCCCTGCGCCTGCTCCGGCACCAGTTTCTGGAGCCTGCACCCTATTAAGCCCCGAATCTGACGTGTTGTATCAGACCGGTCTGACAGGAGCTTAGAATATTCAAGCGCATCGAGCAATTCAGCAGAGCCCCACGAAAGACCAGCTAAATATTCAGGTGAACTTAGGACCTTCCGAAACTGAGCAAGTGCCCATTCTTCGATTTCGTACATGCCGAAACGATGAGCGAGGCTGGCAATGTGAAGGTAGCTCTTGAATGTGGATGTAGTTCGCTGCTGATCACTGGATACCTCGGCGACTAAGGACCTATAGTTGGTGTCTGTTATACTATAAAAATGTCAGAATTTTAGCGCTTTGAGATACGATGCTACTCACATTCCATATAGTAGTAACAGAAGATGCCGAAAGGCGGAAGACTTGACTTGGGGAATGATGATCGGGTTCTCATCTGAGCTCCCCTCATGCTGGCTAGAGACCCGTTGCTCTGGTACATTAGGAAGCTGGAACATATCTCTGAATGTTTCTGAGTGAGGTAGTAGTCTAGAAGTATGGATCTTTGCGTATCAGATGAGTTGTGCAAGGGACAGTCAGCCACCACCACATGAACCAGACAATTAACCTAGTTCCCACCTTGAATAGTACACCGTCCACCATGAATATCACGTTCCCATCGTCGAAATAGTACTTGTTATCACGAGTCACGGTGCTATCCTGTGGCATTTATAAGAAGGGAGCTTGGTTGAATGCTGCAGGTGAGTATGGTAGGGTCGTGCCACAAAGTCGCCTGACCGAGTGGCAGCTTCGTATTTGAAATCATTCCAATTGAAGACTTGTTGGGTCCAGGTTATACCCAGATGGAAACTCGGAATAAAGTCGGTTTAATAAGGCACGTTGTGGTGTAGTAGAGTGTGAGGAAGGGTACCATGGAGCCAAACTAGTGCCTAGTCAGAAACGGCGTAACATTCTTCCACCCGGTTCTTGAGTTCATTCTTCAAATATGACAATATTAGAGCCTCAGTAGGTTGGCCTCAATATGAACTGCAGGGAAGCTTATTAAAAACTACCTCTGTGCGGCTGGTCTTGACCTTGGGCATTAAACTCACTTCAAACGGTAAAATTGTTGTGAGCCGGATTAGAACCAGGACTTGGATCATTCTTGTGTGCTGCTGTTCTGGAAACTTGTTTCTAAGTATGTGGTAGACTTGAGATGAGTCTGACAGCATAAAAACAAAGGAAAAATCAATGCCATGAGCCCGGTTCGAACGGGCGGCCTGTAGATGGTGCTGATAGGTTCAAGCCGGGTTCACCGCCTAAACCCATCTTCAGTCTAACGCTCTCCCAACTGAGCTACCACGGCTTACTTCCCGATTGGGCTATTGTGTGTCATCCGCCGGGCGCTTGTCCCGAATTCACACACGAAGCTCGCCACCACCCCGAGAACTTGGCAAACGTCAGCCCCAAACTGAGCCCCGCACACGACCCAAAATAGGCTCTTTGATGTGTGCCATGCCACCTCGGTTCCGACCACGACCCATGTGCCACGTCCGATCCGAGACACCGAGCCCCTTTTTCTCAACGACCACCGCATGGAAACAAAGAAAAGAAAAGAGTACGTCGTTAATTCATTGAAAAGATCCATCACGTGACTCTTTGGTAGACGTGCTCCGTCCCTGGATTACGCTCCCTCGAATTCCCACCCTCGACCAAAGACGGAAAATATGGCGGCGATGCAAGGAGTGGTGCAGTATGTGCAGCCAGAGTATGCGCATCTACTTCCGCCGTCGTGGAAGAGTGTTGTCCAGACGTGGTTGGCCGAGGACACGCCGAGTTTTGATTGGGGCGGGTTTGTCGTCGGCGAGGTCGAGCGGGAGGCGTTCTTGTTGGGCAAGGGCAAGCATCCGGGTGAGCTATCATTATATCATTCCATTGTGAAATGCTTAGTCGTGGTAGCCGTGCTTGCGGGAGTTCCATTCGTAAACGAAGTCTTTCGAGTGCTGGGATGCGAGGTGCAATGGCATATGCGAGAAGGCGAAATCTTCGAACCCGTCACACGGGTAGCCACCGTGCGCGGTCCAGCCCGACACCTCCTTCTCGGCGAACGAGTAGCACTCAACGTCCTCGCTCGGTGCAGTGGTATAGCGACCAAGTACGCCCCCCGTCCTCCTGTTTCACGATTCACACTCGATTAACATCGGCCCGACAGGAGCCGACGATTCCGAGACACCGCACGCGCCGCCGGGTTCACAGGCACACTCGCCGGCACACGCAAGACCACACCCGGGTTTAGGCTAGTCGAGAAATACGGCATGCTCGTCGGCGGAATCGACGCGCACCGATACGATCTTTCGTCCATGGTCATGCTCAAGGACAATCACGTCTGGAGCACAGGTTCCATCGCAGCGGCCGTGCGAACTGCTCGAAGCGTTGCCGGATTCAGTCTCATGATCGATGTCGAAGTCCGAGACGAGCGCGAGGCAGACGAGGCGATTGAGGCTGGGGCAGACGTCATCATGCTGGACAACATTGAAGGAGAAGCACTCAGCGTCGTTGCCAGACGGTTACGAGAAAAATGGCGAGGGCTTCGAGTGTTCAAGCTCGAGACGAGCGGCGGGATCGAGGATGGGAATCTAGTCGAGCGCGCGATCAACGGTTGGTCCTTTCCATCTTGATTAGGTTTGATATTTAATTAGTGGCGGTAGATATCGACATTTTGAGCACGAGTGCGGTGCATCAGGGCGTTTCGCATATCGACTTTAGTCTCAAGCTCCAGATCCCGGGTATGGTCACCACTGCCGTTGCTCAAACCCAATCGCAGCCGCTGCCTCAACGACTCGCCCCGCCCAAGGGTGGCCCCAGTCGAAGCAAGCAGAGTAGCCGAGCACCGTCGGCCTCGGCCGAGTCGATTGATCTAGCCGCAGAAGCCGCTGCCGATCTCGAGGCGGAGCTCATTTGAGGGGGTGAATGAGGCGATCGTCCGTATGTAAATCTAGATGAATTCAATAATACACCCGATTCTTTTGTGCCCATCTTAACAATCAGCCCGGCCAGCCCGACCATCCTAACCACGTTCTCGCCTCTCGAACTTTTCTTGTGCAGCTGGCTCCACATATGCGTACCTTCGATTAGGCCCTGGTTTTCCGCTTCGCTCTATGATACCAAAGCGAGAAACAGATGCTCGTTTCTGGATATTATGATCATCATCGATTGAACTATCCTTCAACGTGAACGCCCCCTACGTTTTCCTAGGTTTCCCGATGCACAGCTATACCCTCGAGTGACTGCTATGTTCTCCATCAATAGCTCTGGAGCATCATACGTAATAGTATAGTGGTGGTGTCACTTGAGTTAACCTTTGTCATGTTGAGACAGGGAATTGACGGGCGAGCCCTATGCTATGCACGATGCGAGACACATTGAAAGGATGGGGAGTGCACCGACCGGGGACTCGGGAAATCGAGTACTTGCCTAGTGTTTCAGATAAGGAGTCAACCTTGGACTGATTTATCTCCTTGCTCGTTATAGTGCCCAAAGCTAAACATGGTTTAATTTTCGAACTCTATAATATAAAATGGTCTGTGGATTGATCATAGACTAATATTTCGGTTTCGATTGTAGGAGACAAATTCATATTGCGGTCGGTCGGCCGTCACTGAACAGGCTACGACTAGTAAGCGTTTCGGACTATGGTCGCTCGGCGTGCCTCTGAATCGCGTGCCTAGGTAAAGCCCGACCAGGATGCATGAACGCGATGTATATTAGGATATAAATAGCTACAGCTTTGATATGAGGCAGAAATGCTCAATAGGGGCTGCCGGCGTCTATACCGGGGGGATTGGGGACCCGGAGGGAAACGCGGGGGAGACCCGCGCATCGAGATACGAGCGACGGTAGTCGATCGAGAAGAGATGGTGGGCGGGTACGGGAAGGAAGGGGAGCAGGCGTCCGAATTCGCCGAGTCGTAGTCGAGTGGAATAAAGATAGCCATCTTATTACAGAAGGACATATAAGCGCGCCCAGGCATGGTACAGCCTCCCGCGCCTAAGACTGGAATGTATTGTTGGGCGGCGGAGCCGCCTGATAGGGGCTACCACGTGTGTCTCGGATATGTATATAGTCGGACATGTATGCGTCCGGTTCGGGGGGTTCCTCCCCCGACCGTCACCGTGTCTTTCGTCTCTGTCGCGCGGTCGTGCTCTCGACCTCGCGCTTCATGTATGCCCCTTCAGGCTGCGGCATACAGCCCCCCCCCCAGTATACATGACCGCGAGCGGTCCTTTGAATAGTAGTTAATATTAATCGCGGCCTCGCGATGCATTTTGATTAGAGCGGGCGCTCACAAGCCCTTCGGGCACCCGTGAACACCCGTGGCATCGGCAGAGTGCGATTTCAGAACGTGAATACGCTGACCAAGCCGGACAGCTCTGTGACTTTGAATTGCGTAGAGCACGTTAGATAAAGTTGTAGGAACCAATCACATGGGAAACTACAGATTGTAGAATTTCGTCTTATTTTTTTTGCGCAACTCTAATAAAAGGAATGTTTTGTTTCTTAGCTCGAGCTGCCAGGCTCGTAAGTAAGGAGTGAATAAGACCAGGAGATTTCGATGTAGATACAGAGTAAAGAGCGAAGCTCTTTTATACATAATTCGAGAAAACATTCGAAACATAGATAGACGTGGTGGCACGTCGTCGTTAACATATCGGTCAAAGTACACGTATGAGTGAAAAGCAAAGATATAGTGAAATGCACGCAGTGCATTACACCAGTATTCGTCATATCGCAACACAGATCAGGGAGCAACTTTCAGAGGCAAACATACATCTCATCACCAGGGAAATGAGGCAAAAAAGGATCATGATTCGCATACTCCCGTACCATGAAGTAGGTCGGCGAGTCTGTCCTCAAGCAGGGCCCGTAGTTGCTCGGCACCACCGCGCTATCGAGCAGGTAGTCTTTATCCAGGTTGAGACGTCCCATCAGCGACATCGCTGCCTCCAGGTATTCGATAGCCTCGTTCAGGTCGTTCTTTTCTCCCCGATGGTCGAAGAGAGCAGCATGTGAGTTCCCGAGATTGAGCAGGTAGACGATTCTTGTCGCGCCATCTTCGGGAGCCCGGTCCGCCGCGTTCTTATGATGACTGATAGCCGCTTGAATGGCTTCGGTGCCACTGTAGTCCCAATCAAACTTGAGGCCGCACCGAACCATGATATCGAAAGCGAGCGAGTGCGCGACGCCGAGGTTTCCCAACCAAGCCGCTCGAGTCGGATGATGGGGCGGGCAGTATTTCAGCGCCCGCTCTAGAGCTTCGCGCGCCATTGCAAGCTCACTCGGCTCGCCTCGGTGTCCGAACGAGGTCAAACGGCATACACCCATATTGCCCCAAAACAAATATTCGAAGGGTGTCTCAGCGCAACAGCGCAGAGCCTCCTCGTTGCATTTGATTGCCTTTTCGAGGTCTTCGAATTTCCCGAGATAGTCGAATCGACGTGCATGCGCTATTCCCTCGTGCCCCAAACGTATGGCTCGGTCTAGGCCACTCGCTGGAGCTCGCGCAACAGCATCGCTGGATCGATTTACCATGGCGTCGATATCTTCGGGGGTTTTGAACTGCTTGCATCGCTTGGCATACAGATTCGATAGGCTGCTTAAGCAAGCGAATTCGAGATCCCCCGCGCGCCTCCCTCCCCTCATTGAAAAGTGGTAATATGGAGACTAAAAGGGCAAGGAGCGCGAAGCGCTTGTATTTTAGACTGCACTTGCATGCACAACATAGCCTGCCTACCTCAGCCATGAAAGTGGTGCTACGCAGTCACGGACTGGTGATAAGAACTGAAACCCGCACACAGTCTTTATCTCGATCTCAAAGAGGTGGGAGCCAAGACCCGTTGGCATTGGGTTTGCTTTGAACTAGGGCTATATAGTCGTTTCAGTGAGTAGAAAGGGTTATTTTTTTTATAGTTTGCATTAGCTGATGGAGATCACGATAGTACCTCTGGCCACGCGGTGTGACACGCGTACTGCTGCACGTATATGCATGCGCTGTGCACGTTGCAGCAGGCGCCAGTCGATAGAGGTCTGAAGTCTCCAGGCGGACCTTTATGGCCGTTTTCCAAAGTCCGAACCGATCGAAAAACAACCGTCGTACAGGCGTGTTAGGGGGTAGTATCCCCTGAATGCACAACCAGTAGGCTCGATATCAATTCTTATCATTCAGAGTACGTCAAGGGCTACTTGTAGTTGGCGCGAGGTACTCTGAATGATAAGAATTGATATCGAGCCTACTGGTTGTGCATTCAGGGGATACTACCCCCTAACACGCCTGTACGACGGTTGTTTTTCGATCGGTTCGGACTTTGG